CTGGCCTGTCCGTCCTCCCTGGGGAGTGGTGGGGATGCATCCCCCCACCCGGCAGGGCCAGCCCTCCTGGACTGCAGCACTGCTCAGACCACTCACACGTAGTTGGGGTGCACAGCGTGGGCCATGTCAGCACTGATCATGTAGGACTTGGCCACGGCCTCCTCAAAGGCTGTCAGGTTTTGGGGTGATGCCGAGATCCGCCGCAGCACCAGCTCCGTCAGCAAGGACTCTGCGCCCTGTGCGCTCTCTGATCCTACCTGCCGAGGACCACCATCAGCATGGCCCACGTGGTGCAACCCCCCAGCACCCCAGAGGCCGGCTGTGTGACATGGGGACCCCCAAAGCCAGCAGAGCAGCTTCCAGCCACACCGGTGCTTCCCACCCCCGGCCTGGGCCATGCTCCACGGTGGGGTAAGCAAAACCTGCCTTGCCCTGCTGGGGTCTGGGATCTGTCTCTGGCTAGACACAGCTCGGGAGGAGCAAAGAAGATGGAGCCCCTCCCTGTGCCAGCCACCCCACAACTGCGCCCCTCGCTCACCTCCTCGTTGTCGTAGAGCGCGACGAGACGCACGTTGGGCTCCTGGGAGAGGGAGGAGGGCGCTGCACACGAGTCAATCAAGGCCTGCAGGTTTAGAGGAGAAAGGACACCAGCTTGAGTGCCACCCCACCCCAGGAAGCTCAGCACTGAGTCGGAAGGAGCTTCCCCAGAAGAGCCCAAAGCACCAGGGGAGCTGTGGGAACACACATTGCCCAGTGAGAGCAGGAGTCACCCCTGGGACTGCTGGGAACCCCACACACCCAGCAATGGGGGCAGCCCCCATCCAACCCCAGATCCTCCAACAAGCCAGACACACCCCAAAGGATCACACCTCCCTGCAGAGCCTCAGGCCAGCCACGGCCCCGCTAAGCTGAGCAGCCTGCAGGCTCCTCAGGTGCAGCCTGCAGGCTCCTTTCCCTCTCCTGCTCACCTGCAGGGCACAGTAGCAGCTGTGCAGGTTGTCCAGGCGTGGGGAGAAGATGAACTCATCAAAGGCACCACCCAGTGTCTGCAGGGAGAGAGCCAAAAGGAGCAGGGCACAGCTCTGGATCACCAAGAAGTAGGTGCCACTGGGTTCACATTCCAGTCCCCTCACTTCTGCCCTCAGGAGCTGCCTTTCATCCTGCTTAGCTCCCAGCCCTGGCGCGCCTCAGGCAGAGGAAGCATGCTGGGTGAAACCTGTGCAGTCCCAGCCCACAGGCTGTGTGCAGGCAGAGGGAGGTTCCTGCCCTCACTCACCGCTGGCTGCGTGTCTGCCAGGCATAGTTCCAGCTCCACAATCTGCTCCGGTCTCACCCCCATATGGAGGCAGAGCAGGGAAAGCAGGACAGGGCTGTGCCGCTCTGCCTGGGGAGAAAGCAGAGCTGTGGGCAGGGCAGGCAGTGGATGGCAGGGGAAACTCCTGGTTCCCCCTGGCAGAGCCATCCCACACCCCACTCACATTGGCACGGTCCTCCCTCCTACTAACACATCCTGTGTTCAAGCCCCCACGTCACACAGGACAGCAGGGCCACCCGCTGGGCACAGCGAGGGGCTCTCTGCCCCCTGTGCAATCCCCCCTCCCTCCCCAGGGAGGCTGACAGCTTCTGCACTCCCTTCTATCCGATGGCTGCGTATCGGGGTGGGAACAGGGAGATGGCTGAGCAGAGGTGCCGTGCACACAGCTCTGGGGCAGAGTGCAAGGTTACCAGCAGTCCAGGGGGAGAGGGGGAAGGGGAACCTGCTGGCAGGTCCCTGAGGACTGGAAATCAAAAGTGACAAGTGTGAGGTCCTAGCAAGCTCCCCTGCTAGTCCTTGGCACCCAGCTCACCTGGGCTGCAGCATTGCAAGGTGTGGCCTCCATGACCACCTGCTTTTCCAGCTCCTCCTGCACAGTAGTGGCCAGAATGGGAACCCTGTGGGGAGATGGTGCCGTTAGCGCCCAGGGCTTTGCTCACCTCTCCTGCTCGGGCCACACAACCAAACCCTCCTGGTGTGTCTGCCTTGCCCCTCCAGGGAGCAACTGCCATGCTGAACAGACCAAGGACACACATTTCAAGCACAGATCTATTGTGCCACCTCAAGACACCTCAGCATCCTTTCTCAACTCCCAAACTTGCAAGCATCTCCTGGGAGGACTCCATGGGAC